TCAAAATCTTGCAGATGTAGCGGAAATGAGAAAGGTGAGAAGTACAAGTGATTATTGTTTTGCATTCCAAAAATTGTCACAACATCTGGCAAAAAATTGTTAAAAAAACCAAAACTTCAACTCTTGAGGTCGCCATTAACGTCCGCGCTAGAAGGGACCGCAGCTTGAATAAATATTAGGTCGTTCCGAAAGTTCTTTCCGTTTTTTCAACCTATCATAAAAAGAAGTGGAATGAAGGTAGGGAAACGCTTTGGGCACTATACGACGCAGCTTTTCTTTCTCTTTCTAGCAGTCACACTCCCATTTCGCTTACTCTTGTGATCACTGAGATGATGGCCGAAATTTCGAACCCATGGTTTTTACCATGTTCAAATTTAGCAATTTTTCACAATCTTCTTTTTTGACTTTTGGAAAAGCTTTGATAACATCCAGATAGAGTAAACAAAGTGCACAATGCAATTTTTTCGCATATCCAGCTGGCCTTTCAGTATTTTTTTGAGATAATTTTTTCAAAAGTCTTCACTTTTGCAAAGCCCCAAAATACAGAAACGCCCGAACACCGGCAAATCTACGGGTTTTGAAGCTTTCAAAAGTCAGCTACGATTATCCACAACTTTTAGAAAGCAACTGAGCGTTTACCGCTTTAAAATATAAGGTTTCGCATTTTACGTGTACAGGCTGGGGCCGGTTCAAAATCAAGAATTAATTAAAGAATTGGGAACTTTATCGCCAAAGGCCCTACAAATTGGAAAGAAAATATATTCATTAGAAAGAGAAGGAAAATCTACATCGAATGATACCTTAGTTGTGCGCCGTCTTATGTTCTATGGCTCTTGGCATCCTCAAAAATGGAATTTGATAGCATCAGGAAAATAATTCTAAAAAATTTTTTGAAGTTAGCTATCAACGCCGAAAAACTGCATTAAATTGCACTTTGTTTACTCTATCTGGCTGTTATCAAAGCTTTCCCAAAAGTCAAAAAAGAAGATTGTGAGAAATTGCCAAATTTGGACATGGTAAAAACCATGGGTTCAAAATTTCGGCCATTACCTCAGTGATCACAAGAGTAAGCGACATGTGAGTATGAGTGCTAGAAAGAGGAGGAAAAGCTGCGTCGTATAGTGCCCAAAGCGTTTCCCTACCTTCATTCCACGTCTTTTTATGATAGGTTGAAAAAACGGAAAGAACTTTCGGAACGACCTAATATAATTCTCTCCTGATGCCCAACATTGTGGATTTCACATTTGGTCTTTTGTTGTTATTCTGACTACCTTTTACCAAAAATATGTGAAGAAAGCGACTCAGTTTGAACTTTGTAAACTTTTGCCTAATTTTGGTGGTCCCAGAAAAGCATGTCCCATCATTCGTTATTCTGAGGGAACGGCCATAGGTTGCCGACAACGGTTGCCAAAGTTGCGGGTCGTCGTTGTAGGACTTCATAATAATCTCCACTTTTCGCGCCCTCTCTAAGCTGTCTCTGACCCCGGCAACCACTCAGATAATCGCCGAAGGCAGGCGGCCATGCGAATTTTGAGCAAGCGCGCACCGGAAAAATAGTTCGCTGATTTCTTGCGGTCCGCTTGCAGAAATATGGAATAATTTTAGCGAAATTTAAAACGAATGCTTGGAGAACAATGCGGTTTCCTTATAGATTAGCTGCGGCGCAGTGGCCACATTCTCGCGGACTTTCCGCGAGAATATGCAAAAATATTTAGGGCCGCACGGTTCTTTGTGGAGGACCGCGCAACCCCCAGGTACTTTCCGCTGAGAGAAAGTACCTCAAACTTGAGTAATTAAACCAACGTGACACCTCTGCCACACAAAGTCTTACCTGTGCTCGACGTACGCCCGATAATGCGTAAAAAGATTCCGAGCGCTTGCCGAAAGTTTGGCCAGCGCTCGCTGAAAGAAATTATTTGCCGAGTGCTTGCAAAAAATGCTGTATTGCTGCCCACTGGCAGAATATGCGACCGTAAAGGAAGTGCCGCCCGCTGGAGGTTTGGCCACGCCCTTAAATTCTGCTGACCGCCTGCTTGCTGACCGCCTGCCCCCGGCGACTACTCAGATAACGCCGGGGGCAAGCGGCCATGCGAATTTTGAGCAAGCGGGCACCGGAAAAATAGTTCGCTGATTTTTTGTGGTCCGCTTGCAGAAATTTGGAATAATTTTGGCCAATTTTTGGACGAACGCTCGAAGATCTATCGCGGTTTTTCTATACATAAGTTGCGGCACAGTGGCCGCATTCTCGCGGATTTTCCGCGAGAACATGCAAAATTATTGAGAGCCGCACGGTCCTTTTTGAAGGACCGCACAGCCCTCAGGTACTTTCCGCTGAAAGAAAGTACCCCAAACTTGGGTAATAAAACCATCGATGGCACCTCTGCCACATAGAGTCTCATCTTTTCTCGGCGTACGCCCAAAACTGCGTAAAAAGAGTCTGAGCGCCTGCTGAAAGTTTGGCCAGCGCTCGCTGAAAGAGATTGTTTGACGAGCGCTTGCAGAAAATTTTGTATTGATGCCCGCTTGCAGAAAACGCAAATACCGCCCGCTGAAGATTTGGCCACGCCCCGAAATCCTGCTGACCGCCTGCAGAAAAGCGCGAGTTTGCGGACCGCCTGCCCCCGGCGATTATCTGAGTATCTGAGCAGAGGCAACCGTTGCCGGCAACCTATGGCCGTTTCCTATGGAGACATTACGACGAAGTATTGTCCGATAAACAAATGCAGCTAAATGTTGCTGCCACAAATAAATAAGATAAAATCAAATTTTTGACAAATCCTGTATCGACCTAGTGACACTATCGCGATATGGTAGCGCTGTGTGATGTTTTGTGCATGCTATCTTTTGTGTCCCAGGATTTCTTCATATTGCGCCGCAGGACGCGGCGCGCTGCGGCGTGCTGCGGCGTACGGGCTGCGTCCTGCGGCGTGCGCCGCTGCATCGCTGTAAAAATAGTCGCTCACGGCAGCACAGCTTCGCCGGTTATGGATGTATCTCTATATTTGCTGCGCATTGTTCTCCGTGAGTGTTCCTCAACAGCGAGGAGCGTATATTTTCACTGCGACTGCAGAGGCGCACGTCACAGGACGCGGGTGCTGCGGCAGGCTGCTGCGTCCTGCCGCGTGCGCCGCAGCACGCCGCAGCACACCGCGTCCTGCGGCGTAGTATGAAGGAACCCTCAGCTATGTTTGTAAACAGAATAAGCGATGGGTTGTTCTTAAGTGATGCTTCACTTAAGAACAACCCATCGTGATACTTTTGTGTTCCTTCTTTGACTTTGATTTTTGGTAAGCTTAGAGAATTGATGCAGATGGAGAATTTGCGAGATTAAACTCACTAGAGCAACCTTTTGATGCCTGTTACATCCCCAAAAGAACTTGAGGCGCAAAAATTTCCGATTTTCGTTGTTTCTTAAAGACTAGTACCTGAAATAAGTGTCGAAGAAACGAACACAGCAGCATAAAACGTTATTTATACAAGATAATCGTCAATGATCATTACAAAGAATGTTAAACACCAAAAACTAACATGCCATGACGAGAAAACAGAAGAAAAACATGCATAGGCTTGAACTGCGGCCCGAAGAAGGTGTGCTCTATCGCAGCCGGCGTGCTCAAATTCAAATTCGAATCTGCCCACCTAGCGATTAGTGACGTGAGGACGACCACATCCTGGTACATTTATTGGCCTTAGTTTGATACAACTTAATTTTAACACAGTTATAAATCGTGGAAGTTTGAAGTAACATGGAGGCAAGACTTCGCCATACCCAAGCATCGGTGTAGTAGTCCTTACCCTACTAGCCGCTTGGTAGATAAACTTGAATTTGACTGGGCAGATCGGCGGTAGAGCGTGGCACTCTCAGCCCTCAAACGCATGTGTTTTCGTCTTTGACTGCTATTTTTGTGTTTTAACAACGTTCGTAACTACAGTTAACGTTTTTGTTGTTGTTGAGCCAATTTTCATGCTGCTATCCTAGTTATCATCAATTCTCGAGTAAGCATAACGATGCAGGTGGGCAATAGAGATGTGAATTCACTGACCAACACTCAAAGGCAGTGTCTCATCAAAATTGGGATAGTGCGGATTTCCCACCTTCTTTTAAGGGGCCCACTATATCGGCCATTGTATCAAGTCAGTGACAGTGGAACAGTGCTTTTAAGCACATATTATCAAAAAATGTACGAGCAAGAATTCCTAAATGTTATCGTTTCACCAAGTTCACCTTAAAGTTGCAAAAACGAAAAAAAGCATAACAAAATTAAAATCGCTCACTGACAACAGAGTTCTCCACTTCAACATGAACGATGTTAAAACACAAGAAATAGCAGTCGAAACGAAAAAAACAGGGAGAAAAAGTGACTTATCGAATTGATGGCTGAGGGTTCTGCGCTTACCGCTACCGGCCTTCCCGTTTCATTTGAGTCCATTCACCAAGCGACCAATATCCTGATCCATGACGAAGGTTTTCATCCAAATAAGCTAGAAGCATGCGAGATTGGCCGCAAACGGCGCGCAGGCAAAATGTTATATATGCGGGGTAGAGGAACGAACGCCTCAATTAGGCATCGCCTCCGCGGGCTGCTGGTCCTTTCGTCCTATTGTTGTGCATCGTGTTGGGATCAGTGGTCCGCGGAGGCGGTGCCTAATTGAGGTGTTCGTTCCTCCACCCATATATGCATGAAGCGCGTGACGTAATAATTAGCCGATCGCTTTAGGGTCCTGATATTGCACTTCTTGTATTCTAGACAGTATTCTCCCATATTCTAAACTTTTCTCGTCGCATTCACTCGGAGGTGAGCTATTGTTCACAAATTCACCCGCTACACATGTCTTGCCAACATTTTTGCATGCATAACCAAAATCATCGATCACCATTGCATAAATACGCTTGTATTAGCGTTACATCGTCACCCTTCCCATCACTTTTTTTGCTCTTTTCAAATACTCGCTTGCATTCATTTTTCTGTTCGTTATTCTCCTGTATGTCTCGCCAGCGCATGCGCGCGCTCCACGGTTACAGTTGCCCACGCGCCAGTGTCGCATGCGCCCAGCTTATTTGGGTGACCGCCTTCGTCATTGATCAGATTTTAGTGAAGCAGGATTACAGTAAGTATAGAGTTTGTCACGGGAGCATGCGCGCAGATGACTGACCTTTGATTCGTCGCCATGTTGAAGCACCGTCCATTCAAACTGAGGGTGATGGGATTTTGATGTCATACAATGGAGGGGTCTCTAACTAAGCCACTGCCCAAGTTTCTTTGAAAAAGATGGATTTTGGAGCGAGAAAACCGATAAAAGCTCACGTTAGCTCCGCCCATCAACTTGGGGAGTCGAAAAAAAAAGCCTAGTATCGGGCTTTGAAGGCAGTGTCCCGGCAGACTTTGCGTTTCCACCTTTCTGCAAGTCTTAGGCCTTTCCGACTCGTAGAACCCGAATCTGAGCTTAGAATCGGGTGAAAAGACAGTTTTGGGGAAATTTCCCTAGTTTCCAAATAGCGGCTCGGACGAGAGTTTCAACGGAAATTGGGGAGGCCCCGGCACGAACACCCTGCCGCCTGTAATTTTTACTTTGGAACAGTATGCACAATGCGGAGAGCGGTAATGGGGTCCCGCACCGAGCAGGTAAGCGAAGTCGTTCGAGCGCGCGCCGATTAGGCCTGCGCGCGCCGATTCTGGGGCTATTTTCTCGGCGCAGGGGGGGGGGGGGGGACATCAACAAGCCGGACTAGGCCTAGAGGTTAGTGGGGTGGCCAGGAACCTTACCGCAGCGATATCACCCAGGGCGCGAATCTGCCGGGACACTGCCTTTAATGTATCTAGAGTTGTCATGAATCCGCTTTTCACTATGATTTTCAGATTTTCGACAATTCTATCTATCCTATAGCATTTTGACTTTTTAAGTACGGACCATTTTGATGGGTGACCCGGCGCTTTACCTTCTTGAGTGGTTTTTTCTTCTTTCGGAATTTATCTATCACAGCGAGAGTAGGATGGCTTAGTTGGGAGTCCTCCATCATACACAGCGATTCATCACACACAAATACAGCGCATCACTACGTCCGTTGTCAGCGTTTTGCTGATTGAGAGCTCTTTTATCACCCCTAAAGTCTGCTGTCTCTCTCGTACATGAACTATCTTAGCCGGACGCCACGGCGTCCAGTATGTGCGTGCGATGAATCGCCTATACGCAGAATCTCATTTCTATAAATATGGCCGATGCCTTTGAAGGCACCGTCCACTCAGATTTTCGATTCAACGTTTTCATCGGTTCAGGGCCTTCTCATATTCCTAATTCCGAATATGTCGAGAATGCTCGAAAACCCCGACAATCCACGTTCCGAAGAATCTACAGGCCGGCTTTCCGGAACGGTGATTGGATGGGCGCGCAAAATGGGCGGGCATGGATGGGGGTCCTCGTGCATCTTCGCTATTCCGAAGCGATTTTCTCGCTTCCGCAACTGCATTTTGCGCCGCGACTTGGGCGGTGTATTGATACAGGGCCCTACAATTATATGCTGCCAAAAGCTCAACACCCTTAACTTTGGTGGACGGTGCCTTTGAAGGCAGTGTCCGGGCAAAAACTCGATTTCAAGAAAATCCACTTACTGGGGTTATCCGCAACGCCGATCCGAAAATCCACATTAGAAGGCGCAAAAACGACGAGAACAAGCATTTTCCAAAGCCTTACAATTTGAAATTTGGCGGCCCCTGCCAAGGCTGAGACGCGGAGTCCCTGCGGGACCCTACGATTTTGACTGTGGCGGCATGCGTCTCTGCCGCATAATAGAAATTCGGACAGCTCGGAGGACGCCGCCCCGAGGCGTAAGTTCCCCTACTTTTCGACCGTTTTTCCTGCTTGATGTCGCATGTTATGACGTCGCACTTGCGCGACGTTGTGTCTGAGGGAGGACACTCTCGCAAGGCACTGAAATTCCAAAACCTCCATATTGCCCGGACACTGCCTTCTATGAGAAAGTCGATAGCCGCTCAAAAGACTGGAACGACGCTGAGAGCTGCTCACTGGAACGATTCCTTATGTGTGTGCAGGCCGGAGTTTACCTATCGACAGATAGTGTAAGAGTTCGGTTGCCATTGATAAGCATTCATTTTTGTTATTCATGCTTGGATTTCTGTAGGAAATCCATGCCGCTTTCATACTTCGGCCTACAGTATCCCCATCCCCTATCATGGAACTATGCATTTTACCTCTAAAAGGCCGGGCATACTTCACGCGATTTCAGTGTCCTCGCGATTTGGCAACATTTTAGCTGTCCATAACTCGCTGTAAGCACGTTTTAAATGTACAGAAGATAAGGCATTTTATTAAGGCATGTAAGTTATACACGCTATGCATGTGCAGTTTGCTATTTTTGGATCTGAATACTTCTGGCAAATTGCCATATCGCGTCGTGACTGAAATCGCGTGAAGTATGCCCGGCTCTTAACTCATCACCCTGTGCTTCTATCTTATATTTTCTTGACGTTTTCTTGATAATGCATTCGCTCGCCTTCTTTTAAAGCTCTCTGATTTTAAACCTCCACATGACTTGTTTGTCCAATACACCGAGTTCCCAAAATAGTGTATTGAACATTTGAATAACAACTTTCTTCTATGAAAATTTTTCTTTCCTTGAAGCAAACCAACCAATCGCTCTTCTTTACTGTGGGATTACCGCAAGAATTTTAAATAGGTTTAATTACTGAGGGCCCTATCTTGCATCAGAAAGCAAACCAAACAACCTGAAAACTCTTACACAGTCTAATCGAGGCCTCTTTACCAAATGTGAATGCACTTTATGGCAATGCTTCGTACATATAGTTGACTTTGTATTTTTGATTTTGTGCCAGAGAGGTTTTTTATGGTGGACCTTTATTGCCTAACGTTTCGACAAATATCGTCTTCGTCGGAGGCCTGAAAGGGATTGCAGTTTTGTATTCGTCAGTCTATACGACTAAAACGCCTCTTCTAACTTGCGGCGTTTAGACCTTTCTAGGCTCAACGTACTGGAAAACAATCTGAAGTGAAGTCACCAAACTGCAGTCCACCGTGAAGTTAGTAGTCCGCACGGCTGTGACGGACATCACTGAGGGGTGTTCAGAGAGTCAAAGCTATATATACTGTCTGCGGTTATAGATGACATAATGATATGAAGGGCAGGAGGTCACTGGTCATTGTCAAGCATTCATTTTTATCATTCATCCCCGGATTTCCGGCGGACATCCATGCTGCCTCTAATGTCTTTCATGCCGAAATTTCAGTCTCATACGCTAATATAGTGCATTTTACATTAGAATCGTCACCTTTATGTGCCTCGACTCTATGTTTTCCTAATGGTGATGACATTGTACCCCGCTTTTTGCTGGCCAGATGTTCCTTCAATCTCATACTCAGTATCCTTTCGGTTTCTCCTATATAAGTTGTTTCACAACTTAAGCACTCTAACTGGTAAACAATATTCTGCTTTGCACAATCACCTAACTTCCCGTATGGGCAGGCGATGCAGTTTTCAGATATACAATCTGTATCATACAGTCTATTTCTGATCAACCGCTTTCTGTAGTATTGCTAGAAATATTGACTAGTATTACTTCGTTCTGTGACTGTGCTCGTGCTATGCATCGTTTAATGGCCTCACTAAATCTGTCAGATACAAAAGGCATGCAAAGGGGAATTTTGTTGTCGTTGCTCCGCCTAGATTCGTTTACGTATCTAGATGGTCTTTGCCGTGATTGCGTTATGTATCCATTGCTGCGAGCAATTTTGTGTGCTAGTTGTAGTGACTTTGATCATTCGCTCTCGCCCGTACAGACTTCTGCAGCGGTTTTGTACTATGGATAAGGGAACGCTTTAGAGCTGTAGGATGCGCTGACGTGACGTGGACAAGGATGTTTTTGGAGTTTTCTTTTCTGTACCACTTGATTCGAACTGTACCGTCAGACAAATTCACCTGGGTGTTCAGAAAAGAAAGCCAGCCACTGTGCGGGGTTCCTCGTGTAAGCTTTATGTACTGGGACTGCTGATTTAATACTCTAAAACATTCGGCTTTCTCGGACTGTGTTGAGGTGATGACGCAGCAGTCGTCGATATAGCGACAGTACATTGATGGCAAGCGTGCTCATACTGGCTCCTCAATTTTACTCATACAAAAATCGCCAGGACTGGCGCGAGTCTTTGACCCATCGCAAGTCCTCTAATCTGGGAGTAGTGATTCCCAGACCAATTGAAAATATTACAACTCAAATATGCTTTAATGAAAATCAGTATGCACGTTTTGCTCAGCCCAAAGGTGACCATGGTGGAATAGAGTATTTGTCCAGCATCTCCGAAATGGCTTGCAGAGCGGCACTGTTATGAACATTAGTGTAAAGTGATGTTACGTCAAATGACTCGAACTATTTTGTTCATAACTCACGCTTCGCAACTGCTCGACAAATTATTGGGTGTTAGACAAATGTGCTGGTACCTTGGCTAAGCTTATTATCGTACGAATTTTGTATGAGTCGGGTGACATAGACTGGAATTGATTATTTGCTACTTTATGCAGATATTTTACTTTAGGATACTAAGTATTAGATTGAAGAAACATCTGGCCAGCAAAAAGCGGGGTACAATGTCATCACCATTAGGAAAACATAGAGTCGAGGCACATAAAGGTGACGATTTTAATGTAAAATGCACGATGCTAGCGTATGAGACTGAAATTTCGGCATGAAAGACATTAGAGGCAGCATGGATGTCCGCCGGAAATCCAGGGATGAATAATAAAATTGAATGCTTGACAATGACCAGTGACCTCCTGCCCTTCATATCATTATGTCACCTATAACCGCAGACTGTACCCTAAAATCCCGCACATAAGTTCGCCCACAGATAAGTCTGCCCACAGATAAGTCCGCCCACAGATAAGTCCGCCTTTTTAACAAGGAAAGTCGATGAAAATGCATTCTCGCGCCGCCAAGAACCTACAGATGAGTGCGCTTTTTTTCTCAGACGAAAAACAGAAGGGTGCGCAGTTGCGCTGCCTTTTTTGGCCTCAAAATGAATCAAGCAACAGAATTGAACTGAGAAAGCAACAGCAAGAATGAGAAAGCAACAGAAGAAAGCAGCAGAAGCAAGAATTGAGAAGAAGAACAAGGAAGCCTAAAGCTTTGCTAGGGTTGAGCGTTTTAGACTATCACTCTTCCGTACAATAAGGCATTTGACAAAAACCATAGTGAAAAAGGAAAGCATTTGGCAAAAGCCGTATGGTGTAGGTCAACAGAGACTACGTTCAGACAGTGTAAACAATAGAGGAATCAAAAAGTATAGGCAGTCAGGTTCAAGGGTTGTAGCCTGTACAAGTTCAAGCAATGTGTTGAGAACATTGTCGCTTTCGAAATGAATGCTATCAATGATAAGATGAAATAATTACAATGGTACAATCATGATACCTAGTATGATTTGTTTCATGCCAAAAATTGCTCAATTTCGTACAAGTGTCATATCTAGGAAAAGAGCTCACCTATCCAGCGTACGCGATGACAAAACTGCGGCGAAACTACATAATTTATGCCACAAGAAATAGATGCATTTGTAGCTTCCTACGATTGCACTACGCCATTCAAAAAGCTTTATAAACTCGCAAAAAGTTGAGTAATGAAATTAGCAGACGTGAAATCCCTCATACACAACTATTAGATTTTCTGGGAAAATGGGGTAAGTGCTGTGAATTCTTTCCTGCCTAGCTTCAAATCTTAACATGTCGAAATCGATGTATTTTTGTCACAACTTTTCGGTGAATGAAAGCACTGGTGCTTTAAAACGGATGAAAATAGTGGTCCGAGATCATGAAGCTTTTTGTTTCTTGATGAATGAATTGCCAACGTCACTCTTACGCTTTTGTCTTCATCTGGAGCTAAGGAGGAAAGTAAGACGCAGCTCCTAATAATAGGTTGGCACATAAGTTTTGCAACTTTTCCCGTAACTTTTTTCCTATTTTATGTAGCAATCTCATTTTGTGGCATCATGTAGGCCGTGATGTATACTGCAAGTCTGCGCAAACCGTTTGATTTTTGATAACGTAGTACAAAAAATCTAAGCATTTTTTAATTGCTGAAAATCGAGGTTTCACGATTTTTTGGCAAACATAAAGCCCTACGAAACCTGATTCAAACATATGAAAAAGCAATTATAGGCATCATGTAGCTGGAATTTGGCACATTGGAATCAGTGAAAAAGAAATGAAATTCAAACACAAATTAAGGTGGGGCGCCTTTGAGAAGTTGAACAAGTCAAATGCGTCAAGTTTTGAAGGCAATTTGTCAATAACTAAGCTGCGAAAAGTCAGAATTTGCTATAACTTTGCACTATAGGGTAATCCTATGCGGTAAACATAAATATCATATTCATTTGTCGCTAAAGTGAAATTCATCTTTTGATCTCACGAACGAGGCCTTTTCATGCGAAACGGTTCCCATTTTTGTGATCAGCATGTCAAATAAGCCCTATAGGCCATGCATTCTAAAATTTTTCCCATAGTACCGTAAACCTACCTTAATCCTCACATAAGATGGTAAAATTCGGCAAAAATGTGTGCATTAGAAGCTTACATCATATTCCTTATATTGCTAAAAAATGAATGCGCTACGTTCAAATAGACAAAAGTTATACAAAAAGTTGCATTACTTATGTGCCAACCTAATAAAACACGGTTTCTTGATAAAATTCTAAACCACTGCACACGAAGGTCCCTGCGCATCTATTGAACACGCAACGGATCCTGAAACAGACATGAATATCAGTAAAAATAGTCACCAAGTTCTTTGGCTTTAATGCACCATATACTAATATTCAGAATGATCCACATTGCAAGCACTCGTGTCGTTTTTATCTTGAGGCTGCTGACTTCCTTGCTAACCCGTGATGGATCAAAGGGCAACGTCTGTTTACCGACGGGTGTTTCAACATACGCTCAGGACGAAGCCTAAACCCGGGATCTTTGGGAATATCGTTGCGGTCTTGTCATTCAGATAAAAACCGCAATCTACATCAGATTTTCCAGATATATTTTTTTGCAAACATAAGGTCGAAGATACTACCATAGAACCTGGGTCAGGCAAACTATCACACACAACTACCACGTCAGAAGAAGCTCAGGTCGAATAAGAGAAAAGTGTTATTTTCAACTATTTCTGTTCTATTTGGTCGTCAGAAACTCTTCGATTTGATGATTAGCATAATTTTGTGAATTTTTTAATAACTCAATAGAGAAACATATCATCCTGAATAAAAGATGGTCTACTTTGGAGATGGAGAAGGTATACAATAAAGCGGAAACTGCAACGTATTTAATAAACTTTCTTTTCAATAACTTCCGTTTTCATGAAACCTTGGCATTTGTCGTAAGTTCAATTTTCTATTGTGCCAAACAGGTTTGATAAGTGGTCTTTATTTGGAAAAAAAAAGATTAAAAAATAAAAAATGATTGGAAAAAAATAAAGACCACTTATCAAACCTGTTTGGCACAATAGAAAATTGAACTTTCTTTTCAATATTTCCGAGGGGCGGCAAGAGTACTTGAAGCTGATAGGGCGTGTGAGTCCTTGTGTTCTCCGTGAGAGTATTGAGTTCGGAGCCGAATGAGTTCAAAGCCATATTTCCCTCCCTGCCCGTGATCTTGATGCATACGGCCTTCGGGACTGTACTCGTAATCGAAAAACTTAGGCGTTTGCGTTCATCAATTGATGGGCTTTCTTTCCGATTTCCGCATCAAAGACAACGTATCTTGACAGAGAGAGCACATTCAACGATACATATACTTGGTCATACTTCTCAAAGCATAGAGTATAAAGCCACGCTATGGAAGGAAGTCAGGACCAGGGGTGGAGTTTGCCATTTTAGCCAAATTATTTTATTTCATTTTTAGGAAAAAGAAAAAATACCAGAATTGTTTATAAAATGTTTGATACATCAAGTATTTGTCCGGGTGAAGTGGAGATCCGTAGGATATTTTGAAGCGGAGATACACCAATATAAGCTAAATTCCGTTTTTGGGTAATATCAGTATTTGGCTATAAACTTTACGTGGGATACGATGTAGGAGGATGCCTGGTGACCATGACCATGCTTTGCTCTATCGTATAGATATCCCAAACTGCAGTCAATTAAGTGAATAAACAAAAAGGCCACAAACTTTATGAAATTCGCAAAAAATTTGGGACATCTTAATAATTTCAGCTTTGGACTTCTTGTGTAGCAAACATTAAAATCAAGCGGAAAACACGTGTCTAAGAATTTTGAATGCTAATGAACTACCGTTTTGGGTACTAATCGGTCCGATCCTATTCTTTCGTCTGCAAAAGGTCCTATAGCAAATTTCAAATTTTATAAAGGATTGATGGAGAAGAGAATCGGAGCGTGGGTTTGTGATTGACTGATTTTGTAAATCTCTAAACCAAAAATGACTATTTAAATAAGCAGATGTGTTTTCAGGATGGTAAAAAGACTGGTATTTCAGTTCACTCTGCTTTCGGGTATCCTTACCAAACAGATGTCATAACTTCTTCTATCGCAAAGTATGGGTATGTTATAAGAGGATGTACGGCGTTAAAAACACGTACCCGTTTTTGTCCACTTTAGAGATAAAATTTACTGCCGCTATTTTGATATGTCGATGCAGGAAATCGGAAACCCATTCAAAAGTGTCGTGTTTCCTGAGTACACGGTAATGTGCCTGCGAAGAGATGGGGCAAAATTCATGTCACTGTCGGAGAGTGCAAGTGGATACTATGATTATCCAGTGCCAATCGTTGATCGCACTCAATACGGTATGAAGTCCAACTTGGAGACCAAGTTATTTTCGCGTGGCTCTTTCAGTGCCCATACATTTCTTCTCAGTTTGCTTAGCTCCCATTCATGGAACAGCAACAAAATGGCTCCAGCTTGTCGAGTTCATTGAGCATTACAAAATCCAGGTTTCAAATCTTAAATTAACCCAAAGCTTTTTTCAGTCTTCCTCACGACCAGATGATTCGTTGTTTTCCAGTGGCTTTTTTCTTGCCTGCTTTGTAATTCTAAATCTGCTATTTTTTGCGCACATTAAGCTCCCCAACAGTCTTATCGTGTCCTGGCACTATATGCTTATCCTTTTCCGTGTAGGGTGCAACGCATTTTTATATATACATTAGTCACATCGATGAATATAGCCGAATGTTAATAGATGATTATGTTCGCACTGGTGATGCAGAAGTCATAATTCTTCGTAATCGTTTCAAGGGAATGGACGAAGTTTGGCATTCCGTGCAGATCCAGGCATCATACTTCGAATGATTTCCACAACCTGAGAATGATGAGCAATCTAGGAATGTTTGAATCGTGCAAGAGGGCATTCTCGATGGGTGGCATTTGTTGACCTGGACGAGCGAATAACACCAACTAACTACTCTAAAACACTTCGAAGCTACTTAAAGTCAGAAAAAAAAACCAAATGGCCCGTTCAAGTACAGGAATCTTGTTTAGGGAATTGAATGATGACAAAATAGGAGGTATTCAGTTTCGACAACGTTTGGTTTTGCAAAATGCAGCACTCCCTAGGAGGTACACGGAAGCGAACCAGGTATGCTAATGCAAAGAAAAGTCTTTGGAGAAGTCGTTCTTTGTCAGATAGCCAGCTGGATGCCAACGCGACGGTTTCATAACACATCTCGTGTCGGCCGACAGTGGAAATGCATAGTTGATCCTAAAAAGGTAACTGTTCCAAAATTTTGTTTTTGAGAGCCTTGCTTTAAAGATGCATTGTCGAAGCTCTACAATGCACCATTCGCTAATTACAGAGTGACCCAAAAGTATGTACACACTTTTTTGATCGTATATACAGGCCCGTAAAATCCAATTGCCCACGCGTCGCTTTGAACACCAAGGCGCGGCGCGGCTGGGAACGTTTGGTCCCGAAGCGCTACAGGCTTTTTGCGAGCGACAATGAGCGCGCACCCTTTCCACACTTTTTTTTTCAAACTTGTGAAGGGAGCTTTCGTCAAGATATACCTTGCATTGACGAGAACCACATGAAAGCTAAAGAAAGATTTCCTGGAATATAGTGAACGCCGACAGTCGTTCGCGACGACCGCTCGCTTACGCTGGTGCTCAAGGCACGGCGCGGGCAATTAGGTTTTACGGCGCTTATACATTTCTTCCCACCAGACTTTTGTCGACTTTCAGGTATCACTCTGTAGAGCTGGTCAACTGAGATTTACAATTTGTAGTAGATTACTGATCTTGATTACTGTAAAGTTATGGCAGAAACCTTCAGCATTTTGAGCTGTCTTGCCATCTAGTATATAAAAAATTGTTAGCTCACTTCAGAAACCTTCCAACAGCAGGAAACCGCGGTGGGTGCCGATGCAAACGCTCTTCTAAACAGCACCTTTAGCTTACTGCTTCATTAGTCAGCCAATAAAAAAACCTGTTTTGTTGCAAGCATTATTGTCGAAACAGTCACTAAAAGAGCGATTCTATTCATACGTTTCAATGACCTGTCCGATGTTCATTAACGCAAATTTAGTTTCGATTAGCTGAATCTAGTAGATTTTGCGACAACAACTTGAAGTTTACTCCACATCAAGTCATACTTCTATGTTTAGGTTCTGTTTATGCGTAAACATAAGCCGGACGCATTCTTGAAAGGATACTGGCTACATCAGATGAAACCTGAAGAGGGGATAGTGAGATGAGTTTAAATCAATATTTTTCATAGTTTTCGCGATTGATACAGAATTCTTACCCCACCTCCCCCCCCCCCCCTTCCCGTTAGAACAAGATAACATTGAGAATTTAGGCATTACCGAGATGTCAACACTAATGATTGGAGCACATCACCGCTACTCAGAGTGGAATACATTGGGAATTTTTCGATGACAAGCTATCCCGAGAAATGGGCCAACGAGCTACTAACGAAAGTACAAAAACGAGTTGATTATGTATATGGGAAGCTAATTAAAAAATAATTTTGACTTACTACGTGCTGCCCATCTCGTGCTCTATCATCTATTGGTACATTCTCTCTTCTTCTATAATGCTCACCTTTTCAAGAAAAGCAGTGGCTTAATCATTTTAGTAGAGTGCAATAAAAGCGCTGATGTTTTTCGCATCATCATACGAGGTTAATTTGTGTTGTCTTACTCATCACTATGTACTTTGAGCGACAAGCTTTCGAGCAAGTTATTAATCTCTCGAAATACCGTTGAAAATAAGCTGCTTTGGCTTTGTGCCACACACCATTACAAACAGGTATAAACATTTCGATAGCCAAGATTCTTTGGCTTCTATAGAGTAATTAAAGCTCAGTTCGTCCCTCTGAGCAACAGATGATGGAAGCAGAACCGCTGTTAGCGGAAACTGGGACAAATGTGATTTTGGCTGGCTCCTAATTAGCTTTATGGTTATTTGAATCAGAAATGATATCCACGAAAGTCCATAAGGGAGGAAAATGGACTTCCAAACCCCATTTTATTCGTTCGCGGTAGAAATTGGTCGGAATCTGCTTTCGCTAGCGTTATCCAAAAAATTTTATCTCATCGCAACCACAAGGCAAAACGGTGTGATGAAAATGATTCAACCCTACTTGAGCTCTCGCTTGCAAAAGAATCATGCGAAAAGTCCATTTAGAATGGGGCAAAATGGGATTTGCCTCCATTTTAAATGGACTTGAAAGCCCATTTTACTCCCAGCAGCAAGGTGAGCTGGGACTAGGCCCCTTTTTAACCTTTTTGCATATTTTTGATGGCGATTTTTTGAGAATGTGTTCCTTAGAACATTCTAAGGTAGAAAGTGAGTGGAAAAGGTTTCATGTCTTTTATGAAGTCTGAAATAAGTGTTTCTTTCTAAACTTATCAAACGCTATAAAAATCATGGAGGAAGGTTAAATTCACCAAAATATTCGCTAACAAACTTAAATGCTTCCAAGTATCAGGTCGATGTTAAAATTCCTTTTTAAATCAAATAAAGTTTGTTAACTCTTCAAATCATCAACCAGAACTAAATTCATGATTTGTATTTAAAAATAAAAAAAATTTGCGTTTTAATATAAATCTATCTTTTGACTAATCCAAAACCGAACTCAGATACGGCATTTCAAACGCGATTTTGAGTTTGGTCACAAAAATTACTGAAATGGCTCTAGCTAGCAAGAAAATTTTTGTGAAATATTTTCTACTGGCAATAGTCCACACATTCAACAATTTAGAGATATAAACATTAGTGCTGAGAGACAAAGAAGAGCTAAAGTAGGGAATTTGCGAAGTCATTTCTCGCAGATTCGTAGTTTTTATGGCTTAAAAACCCTTTTGGGTCGTAGTGTAGTACAAGGTTTTCTATGAAATAAGCATTTTGATTCACAGACTGCAGTGCAAATCTAGCCAAAGTCTGCGTTCCGCAGATAGCTCTAAATACGAATATGATTTAATGTAACCGTAAAGTCTCGAGAAGCGAAGGCCCGGATATTATATGAATTTTTTCTTGGAGGTAATTTAGAGCGTAGCCATCGATAAAATGGTATTTTGTGAGGTGTTACGAAATGGAAAGGAATAAAAAATCTATGTGATGACATTGTAAATTAGGAAGCCTAGTCAGACACCGACCACCTAGTGGAAATGAGTTTGCAAGAGTGAGTAAACAGGTTGAGGCAAGTTGGAGAAAGGTTTGCTGAAGAAGTTTTGTATGGAATGAATGGATTCGCGAATGCGATATCTTATCGCATCGCATGGACTAAGTCCATTTTATTCGCACGAAAAGCCCATTTTGCAGGGACCTTCGTGGATATCATTCCAGGATTCAAGGTATGGGCAACTTAAAAGCTTATACTTTGTTTCTGAGTACAAAAACAGATAGCTGATTTACTTTGAAATAGCTGATTCATATGAAACCTTGAAATATGGTCGACCATATTTGAAAATGATTAGTGTACTTAGGTGGACCAAAATTGGGAACACTCGGAATAAAAAGTTAGGCTAAAGCCTGGCCCACAGAATTATTTGACATGCTACTTCCAATGTGTTACTGATTATGCTACCTTTATGTCATGCTTACGGTAGGCAAACGATAATGCTGGGAGGGAGGAATTAAGACAAAACTTTGAGCAAGGAGGGGGGAGGGGTCGTATTCGCGGTGTTGTGAACCACACCTCTTGCTCGACCTGCATATCACTGTTACTGGTCACCTCACATTTTCTCATTTTCTGTTTCGATCTTGTGTAAAGTATAGAATCAGACTTGCTATTTCATCAAAATGCGAATGAACTCAAGCGTAAACAGCGCAATTTCTTCATAATCACAACTGCTGCTTTTGGTTACTTGCGGCATGCGTCAGGATGAGTCAAAAGGAGAAGAACGTTATATTCCGTTCTACCTCTTCTCGAAATATGAGACAACGATAGATAATTCTCTAAACTTACGAAAAGCAGCGTTTCTTTCCCTTTTCTGCCGTCAAGGTTCATTGAAGTTTCTCATAAATGCTTCAAAAAATCTTTAAGAAAACCAAACTCAACATTTCTGGCTTTTTTCTTCGAAGTGACGTGATAACCAGGGTCAAGCGTGGGGTGCGGCACGCCACGCCTGGGGGTCGTATTGAGGAGTCAAAAGGGGAGGGGGTCGTAGTTGGGTAATCTGATAATAGTGATAGCATGATATTTGTATCATATCCATAATTAGCATGTCAATTAACCCCTGTAGACAAAGTGTGAGCGAGTTCTGAAGATTCAAGATACTAGGCTACCTAAATGAAATGGTCAAATTCCAACATGGTTAACTTTGTTTCAAAGGTGAATTAGCTATCCGTTTTTGCACTTAAGACAAAGCACTACTCCTTTTTTGTCCACCTCAGGAATCCCGCTTCAGAAGACCTGCAAACTGTGGAATTAGAAGCCAACCAAAATCTCGTTTTTCCCACTTTTCGCTTTTGATCGCTGTGCTTTCACCAAATATTACTCATAGCTAAGAATACGAATCAGGCTTCAAACAGTCCTATGGAATCTACAAGGTTTAGGCTATCGATTCATATAAATACTGTCCGTCAAAAATGTTTTTTGATATAGTTAATAAGGTGCGGCACACCCCCTTAAAAGCTGCGGCTGCCGCAGCTTTTAAGGGAGTGTGCCGCACCCCCTTAACTTGCCTTCAAAATCCAGAAAGCGCTCCACTGCTGGTATGAGTATTGAGCACATAACTTCTTCTTGCTACACTGGAAATTTGGAGCCGAACGCCCCACCCATAAGAAAATTATGGCCCTTTCAATATGCCCATTCAGATCAAAATCAGCCGTCAAATTACGTGTGATTTTAAAGTGCAGTCACAGAAAATCGGGCGTACAGCTCTCAGAAATCGTAACCAGCGATCGTGTGCCACACCCCTTGCTTGGCCCTGGTGATAACTAAAAATTTGAAATTATGATCTTCAAAGGCGGTAGGCGTATAAACACACTTCTCAAAAAGCAAGGTATGCTCAAAATGACTTCCAAGTCCACCAGATTTCGATCAACGCTTGCTGCAATCAAATGTGCGCATTTTTTGAAAATAAGGAATCTTAGAAAAATTATTCAAAAATTCCAAAAGGCAGGTTCAGATACATTGAGAATAGTCTTTCTCAAAAATTCGTTCTACCTGTTCCTGTGACGCTGCTCATTACACTTCGACCCCTTGAAAAGAAACATGCCGGGATTGTATGAATCAGATCAACTCAGTATTATCTCCATCACACTTGACAGCATACGATACAAATGCAACAAACAAATCGAATTCTTTCTTAGAGACCAAATTGTCTCAGAATCAAGCCATCGTTGCTTCTCAGCAGGAAGCTGCACCAAAAATGCATGCGATAATACTAAACCCACGGACAAGCTAGAAGAATTCTTCTTGACAGCCAACAACAACCTAGGATATACATACTGCGCCTTGAGCTGTGATTGCTTAACATGTAATGGTTGTTTTCTGTGCAATCCCAGCTGTCTCTTCCATCGTGCCTACGCCAAAACAACACCATCCTCTACCTACACTATCTTTGACTGCCCTAGTTGGGACTTTTTAACGATAGCAAAATTTAGCTCGACCCAAGAAAACTCCATAACATCAGCTGCACTACAACTAATTCCTGGAGGCAGTACCATATGGAACAACTTGAGCGTCACCCTTAATGGCTCCGTGACACCGTCCACATTCATCACGAATGTAAGAAAGTCGCAATCTTAAACCTGATAGTAAAGGTCAACTGATTTCACATACGGTAGGACAACTCCAATGCTCCCTAGAAGATGTCACAAGCTTCAAATGTCAATTTAGGCCTGTACCTGCACGAAGGGTCTGCTTCTTCCTGCGTATGCAGCGAAGAACCTCGAAAAACTCATCATGTAATGCTCCTACCGCAAAAAACGAAAACTACGCCAGAATCAACCTTGACTCTGCCTGAAAGCTACATTTAGTAGCAGAAGATTGAAAATCACTTCAAAAATGCAGAAAAGCTCCTGCACTGTCGAAACAGGTGAACTACACGGATGGATGTAGCAGGTGCGCGTCTGAAGCAACGATAAAAATCATCTGCACGAGCAATGGAGGGAAAACAACTGCCACTATTGAACGCTCCACACAAAGTCAAACTGCAAGAACGCAAGGCCACCTTAGTACTTCTGTTTTTCACTTTGACACCGATAAAGTCTCAACTACGTGCACATTCACATGCCCAAAAACAAAAAGGAACATTAGCATTTGAGAACGTCTGAGTTTTTTGAAGAACGATAATCAGAGCTGACGCGTGGATTGACAACGGAACAAGGAAAATACCATCGGAAATTTCAGCGATCGAAAGCCTTTCAACATTATAATCGAATATTCTCATTTGTTCTCCGCCTTCTTCACCTACCGAACATGCTATTGTCCGATATTTGCAATGTTTATCCTCTCTTTCTTGTTTTGAATCAAACGATGTACGCTGTCCCCGGGACGAGTGGCGTAGTCGCATGAGGCACCGCTATGACCAGTCGGACCCAGCAAACCCGCCGTGGGCCCCCTCTACCCTCCTGGGCTGACAAATAGGTGCTTTTATACTTCCAGAGTAATCATCTGGAAGTATAAAAGCACTGACTTGATAATCGGTTGATCCCCGCAAGTCACTGTTATAGACTCGCACGCATTCAGTAGCCTCTTACTATGTAGTAAGAGTGCATCCGCAGAAGGCATTAACGACGCTAATCCTTTATGCTTTTTATTCTGATGTACACTTTTTTCAGGCTTTACGAAAAAAATTCCATTAATTTTTCGTCGCGGGAGTTTTTGCAACTTGCAGAATCGCATTATGTTTTCACTTCCCTAGAGTATTCTTAGCATTTCCTAGAAAACTAATGACTGAATTTTGCTATCATTGCCTTAGTCAATTCCTGCCACGAAAAAACGTTGCTTGGCGCACTCACCCAAACATATGAAGAGACTACGACCTATGTCGAGGTTATATAGTCAAACTTTGTAAAAATGTTCGTGGTTCTGTATACGCGTTGCCTAACAACCAGTAAAGCTTCGTCCAAGTCCTTTGGAAAGCCAAACAACCTGCATATTGTCAAGTTTCCATCAGCATCACTACTGTGGATAGATGGTGCACAAAATTAGGTTTACGAGTGAAATACCATGCGAGAAAGAATGCGCCAATGTTTGTTTGATTTGCGGCGTGTACATCTGAACAATCTTTGTCGAAAGACCGCGGAATGTGGCAGCAAAGCTCAATTTTTGCACTAAGCTCGAGATATTTGCAGCAGTTTTCTCAAATTTTTGTTATAGCCTGAAAGGTCTCCTAGATTTTTGCCATTTAAAGATTTTAAAGCAATAGGTATAATTTGAAATTTGATGAAATTCGCCAAGTAAACGATTGTATTTTCAATCAACCACATAGAGAGTATAATACGTGAAAAATAAAATTCATTGCTAATTATTTTTGGAAAACTCCAAAGACTTTCTAATCAATCAGGGCTCTATCTTTTGAGTACGATTAACAACTTAAACTAAATTAACTTGGAAATGTGTAGCACAAAAATGACGTAAAGATTTTTGAATGTTTCTGATAGTTGAAGGTCTGTTAAGGTGTCTCATTTCGACCATTCTTGACCACCTTTAATATTATCACTTGTAGCAATAATGGCCTAACAATCTTATCAATGACAATCTCATTCATCGCTACCAACGCTGTGGTTCTGATCTCCTTATTAGTATTGATTGTTTATATCATCAGCTTCGACATCATTAGCACTTCCGCTGTGTCAGCAGTGTTACGGTCGGAGCCGTGTCTCTGCAATGATGGTGGGTTTAAGTACAGTTTTTGAACTTCTCATGTTTATAAAAAATCGTTACGTCTCATGTCTTCCAAGAAAAGTTTCGTTGATAATTTTTTTTGTAAATCAGTAAGAAATCGTTGTCTCATTAGTATTCTTGTCTCAAAACAGGCAAACTTTCATAAATCATTGGTAAATAAAATTTTTCTGCGCAAGTTTTTAAAATTATATAGTGAAATTTTTTCTAAGATAAAATCTCCATCAAAATATGGCGTAATATCCCTCTCCCCCCCGTTGTAGAAATTTTATTCTTTACCACTGTTCAATCAATACTTCAGTTTTGTACTGGAAGTTATCAATAAAAAAAGAGTTGTGAGAGTTGTCGATTCTCTAATCTTAATTCATTTTTTACTTTTTTCAGACGCTCAAAATGGAAGTGTATGCTCAACCTCAACTCCTATAATCATAATTTCCTCACAGCTCGATTTATCACCAAACATTTCTACATTTACTATACCGCAGCAAGACTGGTACAATGAATTGATAGCAAGGGGAGTCGGAAAGAAGGTAAGGATTCTCATGCATAGAACAATCACAAAGATTGACTCTTCTAGAGGCTCATAAAACATGCTAGGAGGTGACATCTTCTATATTACATTTTCTTCGGAAGTCAGCATTGTTCATAATTTTTAATTTTGTGCGATAAGTTTATTGCAAGTTTATTTGGTCGGCCATCGATGTACCCGTCTAGTGTTAAATCGATCGAAAAATTCATCACCTGTATGGCAATAACAACTCCAAATTATGCAGTGAAAATATTGAGTCTGAAATTTCAGTAAAACCTTTGGGTTTTTGCAGCGGGGAGGAATTAGTATCGCTATCAAATACTCCAACATTCTTTATTCTCACGGCCGCACTACTTATCAGCTCGAAGAATATCTCCAGCTTGCGAACAACTGGCACAGATTGCATTTCGCAAAGTTGCACTGTTTCACCTGGATATCCGCGCTGAAAGGCCTATTATCGGTGTAGCGTCCTCTACCTCGTTCAAATATATTACGAATGTTAACATCGACCTTTTTAGGCAAATTTTTGGAGTCAAACTTTTTCCTTGCAGGGTGGCAACAAGATGAACATCTCTTTGATAGCAGCTTTTGAGTATCCAGATCAGCTGAATGTCATGATAACTTCAAGAAATAGGTTTGGGTATGTCAGGTTGCATCTACTTTTTTGATATCTCTAAAAGCAGATTTTTCTTTTTGAATGACTTCGTAGCTACTTCGTAGTAATGAGCTTAGTTGCTGATTGCATTCTCGAATAGAATTTTTCGCCAAACTTCATGCTATACCATATGAGATGAAAAGTGCTTTATTTGATAACCAATATTTCTTCTGCAAAATTTCAGAGATGTTTTGTATTGTCGCTACTTCGACGAAAACAAAACAGAGATAGGTGACGCGTACAAGAGCGTAGTGTTCCCAGAATATAATATTCACTGCCTTCGTCGAAGCAGGGCTGCATTCATGTCACTATCGGACTCACCCAAGGGATCATACGAATTTCCTGTCTCGATTACTGATCGCACCAGGATAGGTAGCAGTATTTAAGCTTAAAGGGATTCTCATTTTACGTTCTCATTTTAGAGCCAGAGCATTTCTTCTCCGTATGCGTAGCACCTATATATGGAAACGAGTCCAAATGGATACTATTAGCTGAGCTTATAGAGCATTACAAACTGCAGGTAGGAGCTGGAATGTGTGCAAGGCAAAGGTAAAAAATGGAAGTTCTGAACAAGGTTCAAGAAGAGAATATCAGAAGGTGTTGTATCATAGGAATTCACCTGAGCTGCGGAATTATGCAGATATATTTTGCTAATTTTATGACGTCTCAACCCCGTAGGTCAATTCCCAAATAAGCATTTTTGGGCTTTCCCACATATGACTACTGTCGCGCACTTTACACCTTGCGAAGGCTTTGACCCAAAATTGGTGGATAAAGAGAGGCTGCGTGCGCGACATGAAACAAGCTCTGCAGGATTGCTATTGGTACCTTTCGTGCAAAACTCGTCTTCTTCTTTCCCTCTCCTACCCCCTCCTCCTTCAAAAAATTTGTGGGACGCTATTAATTTGGCAGCCCATTCGTGTTCGAAACGGGCAGATATTTGTTGGTAAGGATACCATAATACAAGCTATTGAAAGGCTAAGCTCGTCTATGCTTACAGTACACCCACGCGATTCCAAATACAATCGATGTCAACCACGTGCTCACTTTCCCCGCATCCGCAGCGCGTGGACATTGCGTAGCGATCTGCGATGGATGCGGCAGATTTGAACGCTCGAGCGGTACGCCCGCAAACGCACAAGGTTCTATTGCTGATCGGCATGGGAGCACATCGTTGACACTGACTGTATAGGAAGAACATTTGACATCAGTTTAGCGTTTCTGCAGTGAACACAACTACGCTAGAACAAGCGTTTGTGTGAATGCCTATTACTTGCTTGCATGGATGTAAAAGTCCATAAAACGCACTTGCCTTTCTTGAGCGCCAATGTTAACAAGCGCAAAAGTACTATAACAACTTAAATTTTGTAGGCCTTAGTTAGACAAAGTACAATGACAGCAGCATTCTCAGCGAAGTATTCTCTAGCGCTTGACCCGTTGCATAGGGGACGACTATTTACCATTTGATTCAACTGGCTCAGGAAGGCGGAGCTTCAAGACCAATTAAGGCTTGGCAATGATCAAAGAGCACTCGCACGAGAGAGATGCAGGTGCGTCGCGGGCGCGAGCAGCCTTAATTAGGTCACAAAGCTCCGCCTTTTTGAAGCCAAGCCAGCTGAATAAAAGGTTAGTCTTGTTTTGAAAATGCTGCCATTTTTATTCATGGCTTCCATCTAGAGTTAAGAACCTAACTGGCGTTACTTGCTAATTGATGAAATGACTATTTGTAGGCCATTTGATTTGATTTGAGAGAGGTTTGACAAAGGTGAGATGCTCGACTTTTAGGGTGCAACACATTTTTATGTGTACGTGAAATACATAGATGAATACAGTAGAATTCTTCTGGATGATTATATCCGGACTGGTGAAGCTGAAGCAATCATTCTGCATGATCGATTTGTCAGAAATGATGACCGTTGGCAATCCGTACAGTTGCAAGTACAAACCCTCTTTTGACCAATATTCATCACGAAAAAATACTTGAAGTTTAGGATTGTCTCCTTAGGGCTCGTGGACACTCGCGCTGGATAGCGTTTATAGATCTAGATGAGCGATTGACACTCACGGAAATAGATGGAACCATCTATGATTATCTTAGGTAAGCTACGATTTTTTACCATCCCTACAATTTTATCAAAAGTCTTCAACAGAAACATCTCCGACCCTTCTTTTGGCGGTATTCAGTTTAGGCAAAGATGGATTTTGAAAAATGAAACGTCGCCGGAGCGCTATCTTGATTACGAACAAGTAAGTTCAAGCTGAAAAGCATGGCCATTATTGTAATCTCATGCTTGAGGTGGAGAATTACATGCCGACGCGACGATATCATAACACCTCTCATGTTGGACCACGTGGCCACACGGCAAAGTGCATAGTAGATCCGCAGAAGGTTATCTCTTTTTTCTTCGCTCACTATAAATGAAAAAAAATGAAAGAGAAAGTTGTTTGAAACCAGAATGAGAATCTACCTTTTCTATTGCACTTTTCAGGTACTAATTATGAATGTACATAACGTCACAAAGTTTTTCAAAGGATACCGATTGTATCCGCTTAGACCGGAAGAGGGAGTCGTAAGGTACGATATTTCTTCGATAGCGGTCCCTTGTTATCGAATGATTACAGGCACTATCGAGACGTCGTCGCTGGTAATTGGGGAAGAACATGGTTGAAGAGTGTGGAAAGTATGGGAAATTTTACATGGACTGATTACCCGCAGAAGTTTAGTTCTGATCTGCTAAAGAATGTTCAGCATCGACTGCACTATGTGTACGGGACCGGATAGATCACTTAACATATAGGTTGTTACGTAAGTCTTGTTCTTTGAATTCTCCTGGCGAAAAGTCATGCATCCCATAATCTTTTGAGGGCTCCAGGTACCATTCGATAGAGCAAAGCAAGCTCTACAAGATAGCAAAAGTTTGCACCAACTTCGACCCATTGTAAGTTTGCATCCAGAATGTGAGTCGCACTGAAGAGTCAAAAAATCGAATCTTTTCAAATCTTTTCAAAAAATACCGAATTTAGCTTTTTTCACTCGGGTGTTTGATGCTAAACTAGGTATTTTTCGAGGATTAGGGCTTCTGGAAAGCTGAAAATTTACGGTTATACTTCTAAGGGCTTGTAATATACAGCTAAATGAATAGGAACAGCCAGGCACCGTTTTTGCAAAAACAAGAAAATTTTTGTTTTCTCAATTTCTAGATGAGGAATGAGGAAAAAATACAGTAATGGTAGATGTGAATGTCTGATATAGTGTGCAATTTTTACGAGCAAATTAGAGATTCGTAGAATTTTTTTGAACAAAGGTATGAATTTTTCGCGATTTTTTGACCCTTCAGTGCGACTCACATTTTGGATGCAAATTTACATGGGCCGAAGTTGGTGCGAATTTTTGCACATATCTTGTAGAGCTTGCTTTGCTCTCGAATGGTACTCTGGAGCCCTCTACAGAATATGAAGTGCATGACTTAGACGTAAGAAGTTAGAGTGTAACAGGACTTATGTAAAACCTAATATAGTAAGAACTTTGAAAGATGTTTTGGATTGAACCGTTTGCTTTGTGATAAATTTCAAAAAGCTGCTCTTGCTCGCGAACATGAAGTTGCTACTAGCTATGTGAAAATGGTTCTACGCTATACTGTATACTAGCGACCCTACGGGTCGCTAGTAAGTGGGCTGGGGCGGATACATTGATAACTGTCTGCGTTTAACTAAGAATAGCAAGAGAATGAATTCCCATTTTTTCAACGATCTTTTTCGAAATGCAAGTAGTAGAAGAAGCAAGATCAGGCTCTCAAGGAAACTTTTTTCAGCGACTAACTATCAAATCATATATGCTGTTCTTCTTGCAAATACCCAACCCCAGCTTCTAAAAATGGAAATCGCCTAGGCACTCATCTGTGTAGAACAGCTGATTCAATCCGAAACTCAGGCTGACACTCAGGAACAGTGCAACGGCCGCTAACACATCGAGCTTCGCGATCATGCACAGTCCTATACTCTCGTTATTATGTCTCGCCAAGAAAGGGTCATTTCTTGAAGCGAGACCAAATTTCGCTCAAAGCTTTCTCCCGTACAATCTTAGCAAACATGTCCTGCCGCATGAAGCCCCTGGGTTTTCCTTCCCCTAACAAGGAAACGATACTTGGTGACCCCGGCCATGTGGAATGCGATGTATACCATAAGGCGCATCTCAAAGCGCTGATTCTAAATCTGTGCTCGAAATATGCGAAACGATCATTTGAAGGCAGTCATGAACCTTTTTTCGTAGAAAATTTGCGTAGTTTTAGGTAGTTAAAATCATCCAATTTGATCTATTTTACCTTTTAAAGCTATTGAGGACTTGAAAGGTGTAGCGTTGCATTTATACCTATCTAAACAATATTCAGCACTAGCTGGCTTACCCGGCTCCGCCGTATCCGGACCAAACTTGGCACACATACACTTCGGGCCCCGGCGCGTGTCACAGTCCACTTTTCGTTATCGATCGATCTCGATTTTACCGATTTTTATCGATTTTTTCGCAGAGTTCACCTACAGGGCTAGGAGTTGGCACAGGGGGGAAGTGAGCATGGGGATTCCGAATACAATATTAGTTTTCAGAATTATCGGTTACTTTTACTGATTTTATCGATTTTTTGTAAATTTTGACATGCGAGGCTGGGATTTTGCACAGGGGGTAATCGAGCATGCTGATTACGAACACAATATTAGTTTTCAGGATCGTCCATTACTTTTATCGATTTTATCGATTTTTTTGTAAAGTTTGACCTGCGGGGCTGGGAGTTTGCACAGGGGGGTAATCGAGCATGCAGATTACGAATACAATATTAGTTTTTGGAATTATCCATTACTTCTATCGATTTTATCGATTTTGCAAAATTTGAGCTAGGGGGATGGAATTTGGCACAGGGGTGTAATCGAGCATGCTGATCACCCCCTTGGGGATGATCAGCATGCTCGATTACCCCCCTGTGCCAACTCCCAGCCCCCTAGCTCAAACTTTGCAAAAAAATCGATAAAATCGATAAAAGTAATCGATAATCCCGAAAACCAATATTGTATTCGGAATCCCCATGCTCGATTACCCCCCTGTGCGAACTCCCAGCCCCGTAGCTCAAACTTTGCAAAAAAATCGATAAAATCGATAAAACTAATCGATAATCCTGAAAACCAATATTGTATTCGGAATCCCCATGCTCGATTACCCCCCTGTGCCAACTCCCAGCCCCGTAGCTCAAACTTTGCAAAAAAATCGATAAAATCGATAAAAGTAATCGATAATCCTGAAAACCAATATTGTATTCGGAATCCCCATGCTCGATTACCCCCCTGTGCCAACTCCCAGCCCCGTAGGTGAACTCAGCAAAAAAATCGATAAAAATCGATAAAATCGATATCGATCGATGACGAAAAGTAGCCTATGACACCCGCCGGGGCCCGAAGTGTATGTGTGCCAAGTTTGGTCCGGATCGGTTCAGAAATGGAATTTTCTATTCGGAACATACGTACATACATACATACATACATACATACAGACAGACAGACATACAAACAGACATTCAGCTTTATATATAAGATTTGAAGAGGACAGAAAATTTTTTATCAATGATTTTCACCCTTCGCCGTAGCGCAATTCATTTTTGAAAAAATTATTATAACTCAATCCAGGTTTTCGTTTCGCAGGTATGGAAAAAAGTATTCGAACCAGCATTAAAAGGCGCATTTTTCAATATACAAATCATTATGAATGGCCGGTGTAACCAAGTATCGTTCCCTACTAAGACCAAGCTTCCCTTGCTTTTTCTGCTTTTAGGCGCAGAAGTACGATTTTCTCGAAGTAGAAGCAATCAAAAGTGGATTTCAATCGAACTTTTGTATAATTTTGCTTTAATTTAAGAGATTCTTAGCAGAAAAGTTTGCCGCTTGAAGCACTTGGAACTTTCTTTCCTTCGAGACCAAGCCCCCTTTCCTTTTTTGCTAAAGGGCAAAAGTATGATTTTGCGAAGTAAAAGCGGCCAAAGTGGGTTTCAAGCAATATGATAATTTAACATTAGTCTTGCCGCATAAGCCCTCGGGACCTTTATCCTCTCAAGACAAGTTTGCTTTGCTTCCTTGTTACAGAAAGCAGAGGTATGATATCTGCGAAGTAAAAGCGGCCAAAAGTGGACAAGCGAGCTTTTGTATAGTTAGCATTGAAATTGAGAAAATCTCAGCAGAAATGCACTGCCGACGAAGCCCTCAAACCTTTCTTCCCTCGAGACCAAGCTCTCGCTTTGCTTCTTTGTTATAGGAGGCAGAGGTATAATTTCTGCGAAATATTGGGTTGTGAAGAAAGAGTCCGGGCACTTTTGAAGATTTTGTTTTCTGATGCATTTTTTTGCCGCTCCGTCGGAACACCAAGTTTTTTTTTATACTGTTTGGTATAAGGAAGCCTAATCTTGAAGCCGCTTCTAATTTTCATCAATGTCAACATGTACGATCTGCACGTCAAAAATAGAAATCTTTTTAACCATGACAATTTCACATTTTTTCTTCCTGCGGCTATTTTTTTGTGTTCATAGGTTTTCGTCCAAAGCGTGTATGATCCAATCGAGGAGACTATTAGCTTCTGACCCGCAGCTGCACTCGAGTTTTGCGATCTGCGCCAGAAATTACAAGCTGTCAAACTTGCCTCTGACTGCAACTATTTCGCAGCTGACATCGCTTCTGCGAGGATCGCCATTGGGTCCAAAAGATATATAAGGAGCCCAACAATCTTCGCAATAATCAAGGATTTGATTCCTTCTGTGCAGAACGAAAAGACTTCAAAGTCACTTACTCGAAAAATGGTGCATTTATGGGGCAAAAAATGGTCGATTTATTTCGATCAAAGGCTTGAAGATTTCTTAAGCTATCTTTTAAAACTTATTTTGCAGACAGTCGCTCAAAGGCGTAATAGTCTCCAAGGTAGCCTCAGCAAAGTTCTATATAACTACAGCATATGAGCTGTCTAGCTCTCATCATGCCTGAGATATTCTGCGCAAATAGGCCACTTTTCGCGTCGATCTTTTTCCCTTCTGCGCATGCTGGTGGACCGCAGTGAGACGCTGAAAGCCAGCAAGGTAAACATAAGTTGTAGACAAAATTGTCTTTGCAAACGAATTTTGTAGCTTCAAAGAAGAATCAATCCACTTGAAGTTAGCGATTTGAAATTTTTGCAAGTGCCCGGGGACTTCCTTTAAGACCTAATAAAACCGGTCAAAAGTGGAATTCAAATGAGATTTGTATAATTTAACATTGAAACTGAGAATTTCTTAGGAGAAATGTTTGCCGCTTGAAGCTCTTGGAACCCTTCTTCGAGACCAGGGTCCCTTTGCTTCTTTGTTATAAGAGGCAGAGGTGTGATTTCTGCGAAGTAAAAGCGGTTAAAAGTGGACTTCAAGCGAGCTTTTGTACAATTTAGCATTAAAACTGAGAAATTAGCGATAGAAATGCACTGCCGCATGAAGCTTCTGCAGCTTTCCTCCCTTTGAGACCAACCCGCCTATGCTTTTTTTGATTTTCAAGGCAGAATTAGATTTTCGCAAAGTAGAAGCGGCGAAATGGATTTCAAGCATGTTTTTGTGAGAAGCCTGAAACCTAAAGAATTATACCAAAATGACTGCGGCATGAACTCATTAGGTCTTTTATTTCCTTGAAACGAGCTCCCTCCGCTGTTTTGTTTTTATTGGCAAAAGTATGGTTTATTTTTAACACGTTTCGGACCGCGAAATCGCGCGCGGCGAAGAAGAGTGCACTTTC